ATAACTAAGGTTTTATTATGAATTAAATTTTATATACAAATGCTAAAAGTAAATTAAATCAAATCAATTTTTCATTTTTTTTTTATAATGTTGGAAAGTTCGTTATAAAAGATGTAAATTTCATTATATTTAATCTCAACGGGACTCAAAATCAGTTCGCTATATCCGTAAATTCGTTATATCAAAGTTCGTTATAACCGTAAAATTTTACAAAGATTTGTTAAGAATTTTGCCGGGGACTCTGAAAAACTTCGCTATATCCGTGAATTCGCTATATCCGTGTTCGTACTAAACGAGTTTTACTGTATTTGAAATGATAGTTAAATCAAATTATGCTATATATTTTTATACATCTTTACTGCTGTATTTTTTATGGATTGTAACCTTTTACCATCGACATTTGTAATTGTTTGAAAAATGTATATGTTTAAGACCATGCGAAAATTATGTTATATGTAATTTATAAAGAACTACAGTAACTACAGGTTTCAATACTAAGATTTAAACATGTATCCTGTTTTAATCTACCTTGCTACACATTTGTCGAAAACATTTACTTTTGATTGTAGTAAAGTTATATTAACAACATTTTTATTGCTAGCATTATAATTATCAGCAACTTTGTGGTAACATTTATGTTTGGATTCTTTAAACATCAATGTCAATTACTATGTACACCTAATTTTCAGCGAATTATTCTCTGAAATGAAAATTGACGTTTAATCTGTAAACATGATTTCTTGGGATAGTGTTTTAATCTTTGAAAAAGTCTATGAAGCAATCTTAGCGTCATTTTTCTTTCAACAATTTATACAGTACCTGTAAGTAAAATATTCTCATTCATATTTAACTGTATAAAATATTTCATTCTAATTTAACTTTTCTCCAATTGAAATATTTCATTCAAGAAATAATTATGTCAGTCTTCTCGAAAACCACTTAAGTTTAAGCATCGTTTGGTTTGTGTTTGGACGGAAGATGAATTTTCATCCTCCTAAGTTTCATTAAATTTTCATATTTAGTCTTCGTCTAATAACATTTTTTACAGCAATGTGATAGCCAGACTATGAAATCTAGATGTTCTAAAATTGATACACACGTGGTTACCGCTACTCTATAAGTAGAGATAGCTTATCAATATGTAACTGATTTTATGTTTGTTTAATATCATCAATACAATATTTATCACTACTGAACTTCACTGATTTTTCATGAGATGTATTTTTTTTTCAATACTGAAAGTCAGTATTGAAAATATGTACGTCTAGTATCAATCACTTTTATTTTTCTATATTTTGGTCAGATCTAGAGCCTTAAGAATAGAATTTTGTGTTTATTAATAACATGTTGTATAAACAGCAAAGTAAGTAATAACTTTCACCCCCCCCCCCACCTCTCTTCCAAAAATAAATAAATGAATAAAAATACAGTCAAACTTGTGTAAGCGGTCACCCGAAATGAATGGCCACTCGCGGTCAGCGGCTTCTTTAACTTCATATGACGATTTTTCCTAAAAATTATAACTGGATTATACGGCCAACTGTGTAACGCCACCAGCGACAACTCAAATCCTCACCCTCTGCGTTATTGACACTGTAATAGGCGGCCATTTTGTCACTTGTTGCTATTCTATAATATCTTTTAAACGCATTCATTTTGGGTAATTATATGCTCAGTAGTAGATATAAACTATTACCTTGTAAAACAAGTACACAAATTAATTCAAAATACACCGAACTACAATGAAATTCAAAATAAATAAACATTTTGAGAATAATCCTTTAGTACATATTGTTGTAAGGATTACTGAGTAACTGAGTTGATACATATCATATTACTTTTCCAACGTAAATATTACATGTACATTGTAGGAAGGCTTTCTTACGTGTAGCCACTTTGTTATGCACGCACAATTCGCAGAATTATTACTTTATATGTCTCAGATAGATAATTATCAAAAATATTATAAATATTTATGTAAAAGAAGAATTTTTACAGTATGAATCCATATCTACATAAAATAAATGCAAGCATCAATAAAGTGTAGCCATTTTGTCATATGTGTAAAAAACGTCATTTTTTAAACCACATATACATTTGACGTAGAGAGCTTCAAGGTATTATCGGCGTGATTTTCCCCTGCGGGTTATTATTAGCAGCTCCTAGGTACATGAGGACAGGACACCCCTTCTAATATTCTATTCTTGAGCTTGTTGGACATTTGATTTTACAAATAATTTTTATTTCACTTACGGTAAACATCATGTGTACTATAGGAAAAAAAAACAATAATTACCCAAATATCGCTCCACAGAAAAATACAATATTGTATTAAAAATATGCATTATAAGAGCAACCCTTTCTTTAAAAAAAATAAAAAAGATTTTAAAATTTTAGTTATTAAGCAGAAATTTAATAATGATGAAACGTCTAGTACGTACCCCCTATTTATCCATCTCTATTTCATTAAATTGATTTTTAAGCTTTACTATAATTTTTTTTTCATTTTTGTTCCATAGTTTACAACACTAATCTAATCAGTAGCCTAATACTTGGGCTGACAAAAGCAAGACAATTTTTAACCCAATAAAAGACATATAACATTAGATAACGATAACCATTCATAAAAGAACCGATTCACTTCACAAAGATACATCAGCACGAGTATTATAATAAAAAAAATCCGGTCGTGTACTCGGCATAATTTTTTTGTATTCGACAGTTCCATTGAAACGTAGGAAGTTATGGTGTTAAAATTTTACCGATAGGTCTCATTATTCTCTATGCAACCAAGGTGCATGTGGACGTTATTCTAGTTTGCAGTTCAGTGTAAAGTTACACGTAACGCCACGATCTTTTTGTCAGATGCAACAAGCGTAAATAATTCACTTGATTGGTCAACTCAGGGTATCAACATTAAAGAAAAAATCTTTTGCACAAGCAATCAATCAGGGATAAAAGGAAAGTTCCAGTCGTAAAGTATGCGGTTTGGAGGCGTGTCGAATTATCATGTGTGCAACTGTCAGCTAGATTGTGACTGACGTGAAACTTTACACTGAACTGCAAACTATAATATATTTAAAAAAAAAAAAAACTTGTGATGACTTAACTGAAAGAATAAATGACAAAGAAATGATTGAAACGGAAAGCTACATCAGTATTATTTCTTTAAAAGACAGGCATTTCAAAGTGAGAAAATAAAGAAAGAGGAATAAACTGTATATTCACTGAGAGCCTTCGATATTTCAGTGTATAAAATTTTACAATTAATCATGTATAAAATTTATTAATTAACATCTTAATATTTCCCACAAAGGTTCAAACATGAAATATTTTATGTCCTGTTATTCTATTTCAATATATTTGAAAAATGAAAGTCATTCTAAGGTCTAAGAGAATATGCCTGTTTAAGGTTCAAAACATTAAAACAACGTTATAACTTAAATTACATTAAGTTATATGTGTACCAACGCCGTGAGCAACGTCTCATATCTATTTGTTCTTTTGTATTATCGTCTGTTCATCAGCCAATCCTCTACTGTAATTTTTTCGATCTGGCTGACCAAAGAGAGTTAAATTATATTTTTCGTTCTTGCCTTTTGCTTCATTTCAATTCAAAATGACCGTTCACGGTAGGTCATTCGGTGGAGCTCTCGCTCCGTGATCTGGAGATCGTGATTAATCAGGGCCCCGACTGGTATAAGTGAAAGTTACACGTCCTTCGGATGAGACCTTAAAAACCGAGGACCTGTGTCAGCGGTAGGCGTTGGCGATAAAGATCCATCACTGCTCAATGGCCCCGAGTGTCAAGAAGCCCTTCACCGACATAAGGGACGTCTTTATATGAGTGAAAATTTCTCGAGAAAGACGTTAAACAATATACAATCAATCAATCAGTCGACACAAAATGTAACAACGCGAAATGTCTTAGTCTAAAACTCGCGTTATTACATTTTTCATTAATACATTTTGCATTGATCTAGGCGCAAAATATAATATCGCAAAATGTAATAATCCTAAGAAGTGTGTTATTACATTTTTCGTTATTACATCATGCATTAATTTCGAAGCAAAATGTAATTACACAAAGTTTCATAATCCATGTTTACTACATTTTTGATGGATACATTTTGCGTTGTGCCTTTTATGAATAGCATCTCATTTCTTCGATCTAATTAAGAAATCCATTTAAGGACAGATGATACAAACAAACTTTTGTCAACAAATATGGAAATGACAACTAGAGCCATGTTTTTATAAATACATAAATAACTTTCACCGCATAGTTTTTAACATTTAATTCAAATTTTCACAAAAATGGTATTTAAAGTGAAAAAATATTTGTAAAGATAAATAAGGATCGTTTCAGAGAAGCAAAAGAATTTAAACGTCACCGAAGGTTTACAAAATCTTTATATTCTAGAAATTTACTATTTGCCTCATTTTCATATAATTTAAGCCCAAAAATATATTCCTATCCAGGCGTCCATTCTTGTTTGTATCATCTGTCTTTAAGTTTCGAAGATTCATTATGACATGAACTACGACACTTCACGCCAGCATATGTCATAAATCGTGAAGGCGCTTCATGATATATAGGCCGGCGTGAAGTGTTGTAGTTCAAGCAACTCATGAATGTTCAAAACTTAAATTCTTTTTTTATATTTTCTTATATTATTTTCTGATGAGTTACGACAAATTACGCCATCCAAATGACAATTTTAATGAACAAGATGTTGAACTATAGTTTTGACGTCAAGTAATATATCATGGAGTAACAATGGAGATAAATATCATCACCCATTATAGTTTAAGATAAAATGAACAAAAATCTTATTTTTAAAGAATTTTAAAATAAAAATAAATGAATTTGTAAGTACTACGGAATCATAGAGAAAAAGAAAAGGAAGAAGCAAACAAATTTAACTTTCTTTAAGTCCCGGAATGTTTTCAATTTATTAATTTGAATTGATTTACTACATTTACATAAATTGTTGTAGTTGAAAAATGGATGTAAAATTCAGTCCCGTGACTGCTTGTCCTAAGGATGGTCTCACTTGGCTGAGCAACAGCTTTAAGTTACAGTGTCCTAATGATACACTAGGAAGGAGCCTGTACCAGTGTGTACCTAACGATGACAGATCTTCACTTGTGGAGTTTTGTCTTCGAGGGAGTATTGGCAGATATGAAGCAGGTGAGTCAATGTTAATTGTAAAACAATAAATTCTAATCATTTATCTTTATTTTGATTACGTCTAAACAATTTCTTTAAGTTGTGGAAATATCAATAATTTATAAAATAAGATATATATTCTAACCCTTAGGTTGGAGTTCCGATGCGTACTTTAGCCCACATGTCATGTCATTTTACATACATGAAACTGAGACGTTTCCTGTTTCATGCTACATTTAACTCGAAATTAAGATATATTGAACACCAATTCTAAGTTAAAAATATGCCCAAGCAACCCTCTGTTATGTTCACGGAAACAGAAGGGAGAAAATATACAGTGTTTAATAAATCATATTGTTTAATACTATAATTATATGTGGCTGTTTAATTTAAGAGAATGGTAATTTTTTTCATATTCTTTTTTTCATTATCAGTTGCAAGTGTAATAAATGTTAAGCAGTTTAGCGAAAAAAAATAACATGAAATAAAAAAAAAATTCTAATAATAAGGCTTTTAATTATGACTTTGGGATGTGAACAAACATATAGTACTTTGAATATTTCTCCCTATTTCTTTAGAAACTTGCCCTTTTGCTGTATCTTCGGGACACTTAGACGCCATCAACTGCTCCAGTTTTCTCAAAGGTTGTCTGAAAGAACCTTATCTTACCAATGAAGTTTACAAATGTAAGAACCACTCTTATTTCTGATGGAATAGAAACCTAAGTGATGAAGGGCTGTAAGTAAAAAAAAAAACTATTCGAAATAATGTGGGTCATTATTCTTTCAGATCCAACCTGCTTGGAAATAAATCCACAGAAAAGCTACTACTTGGCAGATGGAATCTGTATAAACAAAAAGTAAGTGAATCTGTGTGATCTGTTTCATTCTTTCGTTAGAAGTTACGACGGATTGAATCAAACTGTTATTTTATTGGATGATTTTGTTTTATTTAAGGAGTCACGAGATACCAAAATCCACAACTTTTATTCAACCTACTGCTTCCTCAGCATATACTCTGTCCACAGACAGCTTTAATCTTACCTGGGTGTTACCAAACAGTACTTCTGATTCGCAGCCAGGGATTGATACCGTACCCATAATTACTGGGGTAGTCTCATCATTGATCGTGCTAGTGGTTATTTTCGTGATTTTCCTCTTTCTTTATTCGAAAAAATGTCGGTCTTGTAGCACAAGTGAGTGAATTTACGTATACATCATTTATATTGTACTTTGGTTGTATCATTACAAATGTTACATGTAGTAGTCTGTCTAGCTACATATACATATGCAAACTAAATTTAAAACTACAAACATTTCTGCAGAACGTGAATTTCAATAAGATCAGACTTCACGTTCTTAAATACTGTAGACGTCTTTAATTTCACGTGTCTAAAATTTCATAGTTTGTTAAAAAGTAACCTTTAATGGTGGTTTTAATTTCAGGGAGAATTGTTTGTAAATATCCAGGTACTGAGACTGTTTCTAGGTAGAAATGACGTGAAATAATAATCACGATGGTTTCAAGTTTGCGGAAAATTCTTAAACAGTGAACATAGTGAAATGAAAAACATCGTAATGTTTTCCACTTCTACAGTATATATAAACTTTCCCAAGAATTTGTCAGTGTGTATAGATATATTAAACACGTTTCCTCACAAAAATAGCATACCTTAATATGCATTTCGACAAGACATCACAGGGTCATATTTTTCTATATGCATGTAACCCTTGTGAGAGTTTTCTGAATGAACTACCAGGTATATCACAGTTTTTGGTGTACTTATATTTTGAATCATTAAAAAAAAACTTAGAAATCAGAAGAGATTGACAAATATGAATAATACCAAGAGATTCAAAACATATATTTGAGGATCATATCGTCTGATCTTTAATTCGAAGCATTTATTTAGAGATATTTCGGAAAATTTCTAAAACTTATCCAAACACTAGATTGTATTATCCTGGATCTTTTCTTATCCCTCTTTACACAAATTGAATATGGTCATGAATTATTTAACACAGGTCTGATGACACCCGATTTTTTTAATACCAGTCGTTATTTATTTGAGCAAGATTCCAACGAGAGAAATCTACTCATTTTAAAAAAAAATGTCTTACATTATTACTGTTTTTTCTAAAGGATACACTGTAGTACAATATCAGGTATTTACTGCATATAAGAGAATGGTGTTACAAATTTTGTTTAAATAAGAAAAAAGTCTTTAGAAGCCTTTCAAAAAATGCTAATTTCTTTATCCCTAGAGTGAATGAAATACACGATTAAAACAACATCTTGTACTCGAAGTTTTCAGTTCTAAATAAGAGTCTTCAATTACACATATCATGTACATTCTAAAATGTCACGAGTTAATTTGTCTAGATAATGACAAGATAGTTAGATCTATAACATGCAGGGGATTAAATAGCATGTTCATTCTTTTTCAGTTAAATCAACAGAGAAGGACATCAGCCTTATACAAAAGCAACACAAGCCCAAGGAAGAGGTTGAAACTTGTAACATTGACAATGAACTTGTCCCCATACGTAAGTAAGCAATTGATTGTCAGAATTAGAAATTTTTAAATATATTTCTTATTAGTATCATAAACATGTATTTATCCATCCATTTTTTTATAAACCTCAAAATTTTTAATCAATTGTGCAAATTATTTTTGAATTGTCTTCATACGTATTAATTTTAAACATTGCGAATTACATGTGATGTACTCATATGGTATAGAGAGCTACCGTTGCATTTAGCAAAAGTGTAGCACAAAAAGGAGTAATTTTTACCCCTACTTGTTTAAAGGACCTGCAAGGAAGCAAGAAACATCTGTCAAGATTGAACATGAATCAATGAAAAGCGAACATGGTGCAGGAAAATATAATTTTTATTGTGAACCTGAAATGTCAGAGAGGACTGCTATTGAAGAATCTACTAGTATGTACCATTTTAACTGCTTTACGACATGTATGACATGGAAACGAATAAAATATATCTTTTCATCAACGTTGAGAGAGAGAGAGGAATAGAGCAATAGAATGAGATGACATGTACTATCAATAAAAAATGTATGAAGAGGCTATCAACGATTTTTGCAGCTCTACATAAAGGTTGCTTCGTTGATGAATGCATAAAGATAAATTGAAAATTAAGAAACACCTTTTAATGCTAACACACCAAAGAAAATATTTTAAAAAACTTAAACATCTGATAATTTTCTTTTACTTCTAGATTTTTTTTCTTTATCTTATCATAATTATTATTAAATACTTCATGTACTTGGAGGTTCTGGATTGTGCAATGATTTTTAATGACTAAAACCTGGCATGATTGAAAAATGATACGATTTGGGTGCGTGTGTGGGGTGGGGGATTTTAATTCGCGAACCTGTGTTTGCTCAAAAACTGAATATCCCAATTATTATTAAATAAATAATGGAATAAAATATGTAAAACTGTTATAATAACTGTTATTAAATCATTATTTGCTTATCGAAAAAAAATGTTTTCAGATTTGGAACTCCTTTTCGACTTTGTGTCCAGACAATTGTCTTTCACGGACCTTCCCTTTGTTTCTACATATATTGGTGAACCTCAATTGGCAGAGACGGCTTACATCGACGGGAATCCCTCTGAAACCTACTGCAAGGTTTTCCATATGTGGCGATGTAAATATCCACGCATAGACCACAAAGCTAAGTTGAAGGAAATTTTTTCCTCTATGGAGAGACAAGATTTGATTGAGAATATAGATATGTTCTCTAAAGACAGCTTTTATTATAAAGAATCTTTATTCAATCCAAAAGAACAAGCCCAGTCTTCTGACTTTATCCTTATGAGTCAAAATTTAGCCATGAAATCTAATCACGTATTGCGGTTTCTTGGTTTGAAACAGTGTGATATAGATCAGATTGAGAGAGATAATAGAACTACTCAGGAAAAAATTCTGAGAGCTTTATCCAGAGTCCAAGAAGACAGACTATCACTCACAAGACAAAGTATTTGCAATGCTCTATATTACGCAGACCATTCCGACGTGATAGATATTCTCAACTCTAGCTGGAACAGGGCAGGTCTGTATTATTCATTTCTGCGATTTTTGATGCATAGAATAAAAAGATGTATTTATCAAAAGATGCCCTAACCTTGAGCCTTTATACTAAAGATAACAAAATACTTCTATTTATTTATATTTATTTGGCGATATGGGCCACGGCTGCATTAAACAAATAAGGGAGCCCAGCATCAATTCTTGCCTTGGTGGCGTCCCCACAAATAAACAAGCATGAATGGTGAGCCCTGGGGACAGATGCTCGCCTGCTTGGACAATAATTGCAAAATTCAATAAATTGTGCACCAAGTCATATATTAAGATTATAGGTTAGGCACTACTGGTGAGCCAAACATCCGCTTGGGCAATATGTTCCTCCAGGTAGGATCCGATTTCAGCTGTGACGATTTGGGCAAGTCCTTGCTGCTGGTATGGATTAAGGCTTTATATTATCTGGAAAAGAAAACAGAACAAAACACGAGAAAGCAGCAGATAAATTCCATTAAGGCCACACCAATTTAATTTCTTGTTCGTCGGACATTTGATGAGAAAATGTACGAGCGGGCTAGCGGTTAAATAATAATATTATTGCTTTTTAAAGGCAAAATTTTAAAGCGGTGTGTGCAAAAAATTTGTGCGGATAATTATATTTTTTCTGATTTGCAGAGTAAGTAGATTAAAAGGACAATAAATAGAGCGGAAATGTAAAAGAAAACAGCACAGAATTCCAATAGTGCGGGAATTTCAAATTAATATTATTTGTATAGTTTTGTTAAAATACGAGAGCGCGGGGTCCGACGAACAATAAATTTTATTGGTGTGGACTAACATATTACTTTTATTAAGGGGTGAGGTGGGGGGAGGGGGGGGGGGTTGAAATTTTGCAGAAACTTGATTTTTTGCGCTCGACGTCACAGGTTTTGGTGCTTGGGTTCGACTAATAACCCCAAAACCCTGAGAACAGGATTGCACTAAATACAAGTACAGGACCGGAATGATACCTTCAAAAGCCGCAGTACTAAAAAGCTTAATGGCACTTTGATAAATGGATTTAACCTTAAGTGGTTAAATCACATTATCAAAAGATGCCCTAACCTTGAGCCTTTATACTAAAGATAACAAAATACTTCTATCTAATTATTTATATTTATTTGGCGATATGGGCCACGGCTGCATTAAACAAATAAGGGAGCCCAGCATCAATTCTTGCCTTGGTGGCGTCCCCACAAATAAACAAGCATGAATGGTGAGCCCTGGGAACAGATGCTCGCCTGCTTGGACAATAATTGCAAAATTCAATAAATTGTGCACCAAGTCATATATTAAGATTATAGGTTAGGTACTACTGGTGAGCCAAATATCCGCTTGGGCAATATGTTCCTCCAGGTAGGATCCGATTTCAGCTGTGACGATTTGGGCAAGTCCTTGCTGCTGGTATGGATTAAGGCTTTATATTATCTGGAAAAGAAAACAGAACAAAACACGAGAAAGCAGCAGATAAATTCCATTAAGGCCATACCAATTTAATTTCTTGTTCGTCGGACATTTGATGAGAAAAGTACGAGCGGGCTAGCGGTTAAATGATAATATTATTACTTTTTTAAAGGCAAAATTTTAAGGCGGTGTGTGCAAAAAAAAAAAAAAAAATTGAGCGGATAATTATATTTTTTCTGATTTGCAGAGTAAGTAGATTAAAAGGACAATAAATAGAGCGGAAATGTAAAAGAAAACAGCACAGAATTCCAATAGTGCGGGAATTTTAAATTAATATTATTTGTATAGTTTTGTTAAAATACGAGCGTGCGGGGTCCGACGAACAATAAATTTTATTGGTGTGGACTAACATATTACTTTTATTAAGGGGTGAGGTGGGGGGTGAAATTTTGCAGAAACTTGATTTTTTGCGCTCGACGTCACAGGTTTTGGTGCTTGGGTTCGACTAATAACCCCAAAACCCTGAGAACAGGATTGCACTAAATACAAGTACAGGACCGGAATGATACCTCCAAAAGCCGCAGTACTAAAAAGCTTAATGGCACTTTGATAAATGGATTTAACCTTAAGTGGTTAAATCACATTATCAAAAGATGCCCTAACCTTGAGCCTTTATACTAAAGATGACAAAATACTTCTATCTAATTATTTATATTTATTTGGCGATATGGGCCACGGCTGCATTAAACAAATAAGGGAGCCCAGCATCAATTCTTGCCTTGGTGGCGTCCCCACAAATAAACAAGCATGAATGGTGAGCCCTGGGAACAGATGCTCGCCTGCTTGGACAATAATTGCAAAATTCAATAAATTGTGCACCAAGTCATATATTAAGATCATAGGTTAGGTACTACTGGTGAGCCAAATATCCGCCACGAGCCTACGCTTCGAGCATTGGCTGCGCCACCAGTAGGGCAGTAGGGAGGAAGAAAAGGGGGCCGGTATTTAAAATTGGTAATTACCTGACTCATGTTTACATCCTCCAATAGTGTAATTTATGACAATAATTAATACTTGGTAATATAAAAAGACCAAGAAAATAAAGACTTTATATCAATGCAAATACATAGACCCTCCACAGTCTATGGGCAAAAAGAGGGTCAATATAAAAACAGATAATTACCTGACTCTTGTTTATGTCCTCCAATAGTGGAATTTATGACAATAATCATTAATCAATACTTGGTAAAAATAAAATGACCAAGAAAATAAAGACTTTATGTCAATACAAATACATAGACCCTCAACAGTCTATGGGCAAGAGCAAAAAATTGACTTGGTGCATGACAGTACAAATACATAGACTCTCAATAGTCTATGGACAGTAAATAAAATAGTACCATGACTAAAATCTAGTCATGGCGCAGCCATGGCCCAATTCCCCCATCTCTTGGGGACACGTTAACTGAGTTGGTAATCAAGAATACTTACCAAGCCTGTTGCAACCTATACAAAAAAAGAGTTATTACCCATCTCAGATAAATGAAAAAGGTGAACCTTATGTTTAGAAAAAATGCCTGTGTTGACCCTATGTAACTCTGGATACCTGGTGTACTTATCCCCTGACCTTAACAAGTGGGTAGCCACATGGCTATTTACTCTGACTCATTCTCTCAGACTGGTTAATACCCCTCCCCCCTTTCCAATAAAGATGTGGCAGTATTTGTGACCACATTAATGAAGTTGATGGTAGCAATTTGCTAATTTTTGTAATACTTCTTTTAATCTGAAACGTAAATCAGCTGACTTAAACCACTATACCATGGAATGTTATTTCCCCCCGCATGAATAACTAATATGTGAGGAACATTTTCTACCTTGAGTAATGTTCTAATTTTGGATAAAATGTCTTCCAATTTTATACCCCCTTTGCCTTGCCAGAATATGATAGCATTGTGCCGCTTTAATTCTAGGTTGGTGCCAAATACAATACTGATTTTCTTGTGAAATAAAATTTATGTTTAACAATGGAAGACCCAATGATCCATATTCTCTTTACACCTATAAAGATTTAACAAAGGAAAAATACGAGATGTATGATGCTAGATTTATTGACATGTTAACTCCTAATGTACTTGTACAGACACTGAGATTTCAATCTACCCCTAATGGCAATGTCTTTTGCATTGGGTCCGTTGGCCCAGGGAGTTGAGGCTGCGCCTATGCGGAAGGAGCGAGTTTTACGAGTTTGCTTGCTTGACCCCAAATTTTACAGAGGCCATTTGAAAACAGATGACACCTGATACCTTTTTCACTGGACTACCTGAGATGTGGCTAAAAAATGCTTAATAGATGCTATGTCTCAAGTGCATAAATGATAAAATTAGACACACTGGGAATACTGCCTGAAAAGTGGCCGTTAGTGGAATTGTTGGCCCCTCCCCTCTTGCTCAGTTTTGGAGTGTTTAAGGACAATAAGGATTTGATTATTCTGTTTTAGATAAGTTACACCCCCAGCTTGAATAGTGTGACCAGGGTCATGTGCTGGATTCTGAGCCAGCTCCCCCATTCTAAAATGACCAAAAAATGCTGTAGTGAATATGGCTGAGAACAGCACAGATTCAAAAAGAGGTTTGCATATTGTTGGCAGCAACTTAAGGAGTCTGGACAACATTGTGGAAGTGACTGGTTTACCTTAGTCGGTGGGGACTTTTTTTTTGCCCAAACCTACCAGGGTTTTCTGAGTAATAATAATTGTGTTGAATCAGGAAGATTGCAGAGTTTACAAAAATAATATATCCCAGAAATGTACGACTTAACCGTGTTGGGGAGTACTGCTTACACGATAGGTAGGAGACAAAAATGACTAATAAATTGTAATGGTGAGGCCACTCTTCTGTGTCAAAATTCTTTTTGAATAATATATAAGTAACTGGTCCTTAAGCTGCCCCAATTTGTCTGATGGTATGCAAATTATCATTTCTTGAGTGTTAATTTCTAACCCCCAAAAGTCAAATGTTTGTAGGTCCCAAAGTTTTTCATGAGCTAAGGGGATGGAACTGAACGCCGACATATACATGTATAAGCCTAGCACAATCTTGGCTGCCCTCCCTTCCTGCTACCAAGGAAACATCTAAATAATGAACCACATTGTTGCTTTTGGCCTGCTACTTAAGTACCCATTCTAAAAAGGTAGAAAATTTCTCAAACTTGGAACAGCTTAAATAGAAAATCCAAAGGGCAAGTCCTTACCTAAAAATATTATACACTGAATTTGAAGCCTAAAAATTCATAATCTGCTCTGTGAATCACTAATAAGCTAAGTGCATTTTGCGTCTAATCTAGCAATTTTTGTGCCTGGACCTATTGCAAGCATGTCTAATGCATCATCAAATGACGAGCAAGTAACTGAGCAATGATCCTTACTAATAAAATCTTTGACGCTGGACCCTGGGGGTAAGACAAGTGATGAATCAATATGTAAGAATTTTAACCCCCCTTTCTTTTGTACCATGCCCACTGGAGACGACCTAAGGTTCAGTAGAGGGGGCTGATCACCTGGACCTGCAACTCTGCTAAACATGATTTCATTGACGACCAACTGAACAGCTTCATACACTGTAACCCAGACATGGATTTAAAATTATTACAGTCAGTGGCCACTCAAGGCCCTTCGTAACATAACCTAAAACCATTATGGTATGTAAAATCCCGCAAAAGTTCTAAGGCTACCAAGCCAAGTGGGTGATATGCTAACATTTTGCCTAATCTACATGTAGGTACATTGATAGGACTTGCTGCAATATTACTGAGGTCTAGCTGGCTGGGTATAAGGTGCTCTAATAGCTTAACACAGTGCTGTGGGTCTCCCTGGTAGCTGAGGCCGCCATGTTGCTTGCAGGCCAGTTGACCTAAAATTCAAACTAGAGCTTGGGAATGTCTTGTGTTTAATGTAGGGATGGTTATATGAACATATCAACATTCATGTTTGTATTTACATACGAGTTTATTACATATACCCTTGTAATTGAATTCACAACACATAAGGAGGAGGGGGTGAGGTGAGGAAATATGTGTGCTAGGGGCACTATATATATATACAAGAGTCATAGCTCATAATCGACAACAGCAAATGAGAAAGATATGGGTTAGCCTCTTTCTTGAACCTGAACTGGATGTTATAGCTGCGCCACCAGTGTCTTTACTCTATTTGCCCCTGTCTCACCTAATAGTATAAATATATTGAACAACTGAACTCTGCTCTTGGGATTGGCTGAGGCGTATATGGATGCGATCTGTCTGAATGTCTTCAATTATCTTGCTTTAGCTTCCGGGGCCAGGGTGAGGCTACCCTCTTTCATGGAGAAACACTTAGTCTCATCATTTGGATTGACACCATATGAATTTTAACAAACAAAAATTTTAAGCAATAGTTTTTTTTTAAATTATTATTATTATTTTTTAATGACATTTTATGGTCATTATGTAGCTTAAAGTTAATGCAGAGTAATTGTCACTTATCAAAAACGGGTTCTGTACCTTGACTCTTTTCCCGCATGGCCATTGGGGGTTTCCAGTGGCTCTATGGGCATTGGGGGGGGGGGGGTCTCACTCTGTTTGCTTAGGTTATTTGCTATGCACGGCTTCTGAAGCCTGTTGCAACTGCTCATTAGATGAACTAAGACGGCTGGCTCCTGCTTCCCCTGGTTCCGGGTTGACCTTGCCTGGCCTGAGATGGAGGAGCGCCATCGTTGCGTTGCGCTTGGCGCGTCTTCTGTGCAAAGGCGTCGAATCACGCTGAATGTTTTTGGCATTCTTGTTGGCGTTATGGCTCGTTATGAAATACACACAAAAAACAAAACATTAAACTCTGACAAAAAACAGTCGGGTTATGGAAACAATTACTGGAATTATGCCTATGTATCTAAGACCACGTGTAGCTAGGCGGAAAAAAAATGTAGGCCTAGGCCCTAATTAAAGTAAAACTAAGAAAAAATACGATCAAAGCAATAATCGTGCTCAAAATATTTAACAGGGAGCGAACACGATCTACGATGCTTCGCAAGACAATAAAGAAATTTCGCCAAAGGCAGTTGAGCACGTGGGAAAAGAATTCAATGCTGAAAAAACGTCTTACCTCGTTGAAATTTTGCAGAAACTTGATTTTTTGCGCTTGACGTCACAGGTTTTGGTGCTTGGGTTCGACTAATAACCCCAAAACCCTGAGAACAGGATTGCACTAAATACAAGTACAGGACCGGAATGATACCTCCAAAAGCCGCAGTATTAAAACGCTTAATGGCACTTTGATAAATGGATTTAACCTTAAGTGGTTAAATCACAATATTTGTAAAACACACAAAATACTAATATTTGATCAACAATACTTAAGATATAACAAAACATTTAATGCTAGTTATTACCTAAGCTGAAGAGACCGGGATAGTAGCTTGTAAACAAAACAAAACATCTGAAGCACCATCCCAGCAGTCATACAACATTGAATAAACCTTTGAATCAACGTTGTCTTTTTTTCTACGTTGATTCAACATTGATTTTATGTTAGATTCTGAAATTTGTATCAACGTTGAAGTCTTAATATTGAATCAACATTGACAATCAACGTTGTTTATATGTTGAAAAACAGTTGATTCTACATTTATTCAATTATTTTTATTTTTGGAAAAGGGGTGTCATATAGCAATAATACACTTTTCATTCTAAAAAGAATTTTTTATGGGAAACTTACTTCATGTCTGAATCATGTTACATTGAAATATATAAAAATAAATGTCTTAATAAATAATCCTATTTAAGGACAGGGTCATTTTATGCATACCGGTAGATTGAATCTACCACTTTACTCATGTTCTCATAGGTTTAGTGTATTGTTTTAACGTTGCATATGTTTTAATTGAAGATTAAAATATTTTAGCTAGGAAAATTGCAAAGAAAGGCAATAGGAAAAAAAGGATACCAGAAAAAAATAGTTTTAAAGATGGCACACGCAACAACACAACTTGGACTGAAGGTACAGATAAAATGTTTATTAAAGATGATTAACATTAACATTAATTAAGATTGTTGAAAGAGCAAAATTTTACTTTAGATTAACCTCTTGTTGACGATTCAAATCAGATTAATATTAAACTAGTCTTAAATGACCAAAGATATGCCTTTACTAGTTATGCTGCTAATATAAGTGTCCAACAGGTGATGATATGTTTAAAAAGTGTGCACAATTATATTTGTATATTTAAACATTGCTGTGACGCCATGCCTTTGTTCTTGCAATCTAAAAATCTACTCTAGGAGGAATAGGACCTTTAGAAGAAAAAAAAACCTGTCGACGAATTTTTCTCGTATTTATTATATTACCAATGTAATATGTACTAAACATTTTAGAAAGGTCCTGTCATGGGATTTTTTGACTTATTTAAAAGATATCGCCCAACAAATACAGCACTGTTTAGAGTCTGTATGTAGTTAAGATACTTCATGTTTACGGGCCCATAACTGAGTCCATAATGCGAATTTTTACGCACAAATTATAAATATGATAGATAGCACTATTTACTCAAATATGTCAGGATATTCATAGTGTTTAAATTATCTGAAAGCAATTGTTTTCATTTTATATAGTATTTCGGTGGGTTAATTTCTGCATTTTTCAAGGCAGCTTCCACGACAAAAACCTCATTTGGAATTCTGTCAATAAATATTTCTAAATTTACGATTGAATGTCAGTTCTTCATCGATATTATTTACAGCATAAATATCACAAGGTGAAGCTTACCTCAATATCGCACAGGGCATCGATGAATTAGATGTAAGCATGATAAAAACGCTTCACGTCTGAATTTTCCGAGTGCGGAAAATCAATTGTGACGTCTGTGGCAACGCACTTTGAAAAAATTACGCACTTTGAAAAAAATTTTCAAAGTGCGTTAAAATTGGGACAAAATCAACGCACTTTGAAAATTTTTTTCAAAGTGCGTTAAATTTGGGACCAACTCAACGCACTTTGAAAAAAATTTTCAAAGTGCGTTAAGAGTCTACATCAATATATTTTACCATGGAGACACTTAACGCACTTTGAAAAAAAAATCATATTTTAGTCATGGAAAGAATTTATTTGTTATTTATCTTTCAAAAAACTAAGCCTAACCCTAACCTCAAAAATGAATTGAGTTTACTCCCGTCGAAAAGAGGAGAAGACGGGTATAAGATCCCTCAGTCCAAATCTTTATCTTTCCAATACGTGTCGGTAAAAAACAGGGGAGGGGAGCAATAAACCTAAAAAGGGTACGCTGCATTTTCAATGCTTATACGATGAATATATCTTTCCAAAATAAGTGGGGGGCTTAGCCCCCCATCCCCTCCCCTGGCCCTTCGCCCAGTCTCGATGACTATGCTATACTCAAAGCATTCATATAACTATGTATTTACCTAACTGGTATGGCGTTGAAAACTTTCAACAATAAATGAGTTAATTAAAACAGATGAAAACTAGAAGTTTTTAAGTACATTAAACGTATGAGAGAGAAAGAATTTTCGTAGATTTGAACAATCAAATTGGCCCCTTTTTATTATGATAAATGCTAAGTGGCTTGAAGCTGTCCTCTGTTAGTGCCACCTATACACCTTTACATCTACTTATCAAAGACTAGAATTAAAAAAAAAACGAATTAATGAACTTAAACAATCGTCACTCTTTTTTTCAAGACCCTTTAATTTTTCATTTTATTTTATCAAAACCTTAAATATTTAAAACGTTAATATCTCAGGTCCTACAGTGACTTTATCATAAAAAAGTTATCAAACCAGGATCTGTTATTTATCATACCGATTATTTGAAGGAATATTGATCAATGTTTACATTTTTTTTTCAAAGTGCGTTAATATGGTCGATATTAACGCACTTTGAAAAAAAATTGTTTTTTTCAAAGTGCGTTAGCTTGGTCCCAAATTTTAACGCACTTTGAAAATTTTTTTCAAAGTGCGTAATTTTTCAAAGTGCGTTGTAACAGACGTCGCACGAAAACGTAAAGATTCAATATTATCTAAATAGAGAGAATTTCTGCTACTAAACACGAAAAAATATTAATTAAAACAATCATCTTCTGAAATTTATCACGATACATTGACAGTGACCCGTTTATAATGAAATGATCATGACGTATGTGTGTACTTGGTCTCGCTGCACTGAGAATTTAAACACTATGTCTATGACGTCACTGACGTCAGACTGCTGGATAAAGAGAAACAAATATGAGGATCGGGCAACTTCACAATATCTAAAAAATATGAAGATCTTTATAAATTTCATTGATGAAAATTTCTAAAATTAAATGTTTAAAAAACAAATCAGGTCAGAATTTAAAATAAAATTACTCAAGAACTGTTGATTTCAATAACGTTTTTTTTATTTTTTTTATGTATATCATCACTGATTATGACATTATATGTCTTTTTAGTCAAATGACATGTGCCCTGTCTCCCCTTAACGTAGAACTTACGTCGTATGACATCATAAATAGTGAATGTGTTTAGCCTCTGCTATAGATCCATTATGACGTGATAATTAATTCAATGTCACTTTTTCCCGTACTTTACGTCCTCAATAGAGACGGTAGAAAATGTTGCATTTTGAAATTCACACAACTTAAAATCATGCCGAAATAATATTAATCCAATTTATATATATTTTTTGGTAAAAATGCTTAATTACATTATATTTCTGGAATTAGAGAAACCTGTATGCACCTTTCATTTACTCGACCTTGGCCTTAATAAAGTTAACAAATTCAAGTTTATCCTGTGTAATAATATTACAATGTACATTTTATACAACTCACTGTAAAATGTGAATGGTATGTAAATACATGTATTTTGAAGAAATGAAAAATCCTCAAAATACTTCAGCTGCCAACAAAATAGTTTTATATCTAAATGAAATGTGTCCAAGTCAAAGATGTACGTACTGTGGATAGACTGATCGTGTGTTCATTTTTTGTAATATCTGACAGTTCTTTGTGTTTGATTACATTCTATTGAATATGATCTTTTTGAATTAAAAGTACAATTTAAGATACCCGGTAAATATTTTTAATCTTAAAGTAACCCCAAACAGTCATTTAATAATTAAATCCCGTGTCAGTGCAAAAAGGTCAAGGATATTAGGATCGGTAAATTACCTATCTCTCATTAATTAAAGGGGAACGATATATATTTTTATCACTTATTATAGTCATTGGGGTATCTTCTTTATCATATTAAAGTTAGAAAACATGGTGACAAATATTTCTGAAAAATATTGACAAATTTAGGGTCGAAAATTGACTAAAAATAATAGAGTTCATTTGCGTATATTTGCTTAGATGTGGACTAATCCTTTATGTCGATGAAATAAAAAAAAATCTATAATTGAGAAATATTGTTTGATACTGTTCAGTTAATAAAGTCAACGAACGAAGATGTTTAAATAAGTATTTTTGAGATTCTTCATATTCTCTTTATGACAAGTACCCCTAAAAATGACTGAAAATGTCTAGCCGCAGCATATAAATACCATTCATGTTCCACAGCCTACACTATATTAAATAACAAGGAAACGTGTCTTGTGCTTTTGACTGATTGGAAAGCGAGTGATAATTTATCATTTTGAAAAGTTTGAAAATCTTGTGACAAAGACTTTTCCAATATAGGTTCTACCTTAAGGCAGTCCGATATTAGTTAGCAGTCTGATATTAGTCGTAATATTAGACTGCCTCAGTGCTAATATCCTTCATAATCGGACTGCTACTGAATAAAAGAAATAAAAAATGTAATAATTCAACAAACAGCAATTAAAAATTTTCATAAATAATGATGACTAAGAAACATTAATCTTACAGAATTGCAATACTAAAAAAAAACTTTCAATTATATTGAATATACTGTAACAGGAAGAGGAACACGCGATAGACCAGATAATGCAAATAAAAAAAAAAACACATAAAACAAAACCCCCAAGAAATCGGATAAACTTCTGATAAACTTTTATAAAAATGAAGTAGTGTTTCAACCCTTTTCTCTGGATTTTGAAAAAAAAATGGGCACAATGGGGGTCACTAAAGAACCACATGAAATTTCAAAGCCCCCAAAAGAAATTCGTAATAAAACACAAAGTTTAGATACTATAAAGTGCAGCATTCAAAGAATTTGATTTTATTTATCTCATAAAAAAAATGCCCAGATGCAAAATTAAGGTATCTAGGCCTTGTTTCTGATACTTAATCTGTCAAATTCGCAAATTTCAAAAGAATTTTGAAGATTTTTAACGTTTCCCTCAAAACTACTGGATTATTTATAATGTTCGGTTTTTTTTTTCTGTAATGAAACATTAAAAACAAAAGTATATGAAGAGGATTAATATAAAAGGAATGAAATGGACTAATGTACCTTAAGCATCTGCTTAATTTTCTGTGGATATTCTTCATACCGGGATTTTCAATTTCATTCCAAATTCATCAATCACTAGATTGTATACATGATGATAAGTTCTACTGTTCTAATCTCCGTGTATGATTTAATGAAGAAAATATTGACTCCATTCTCCTTATAAGATTCTTTCAAATACCTTCTTCGGGTAGTCAAATCATTAAGGGGGCCGACTATAGTTTTATTGTGTGAAAACTACAATAGCGAATTCGAAACTTTTCATTTTTATACCATATATAGCTTACATTTACTTCAGTGAACATGCAAAGTTAGGGGGAAATCTACCGTCCAGGTATTTTTGAGGGACCGTCTCAAAATACAGAGACTTTTACTATAGGATTATATAGGAAAATGCCAATTTTTAGTACTTTAAATCAAATTATACAAATACTACAATAGACATTTTGTTCAAACTATAATATTTGATGAGCAATACTATATTATACAATATATGGAAGAAACACAAAATCCTACCGTCTTGTTACCAGATAAGGGCATCTCAAAATGCAAAAAAATAGCAAATTTTGCTATTTTTATAGAGCAATACTAAATATGACGTCACAACGGATTTACATGAAAAC